ATTTTTATCTTAAAGGAAAGATATTTGTTTAATACACATTTTTCCATTAAGAAAATTGAACCATATCTGCCTGGGAAACACACACACATTTGTGTGGGTTGAAACCTACGAGTCACAGAATGGGCCAGGGCCGCCTTTCCTGAGGCTCACAAGTTTTCTCATCTTCGGCGGTACACTGTTACCACTTTGTAATCGCGTACTTTATGGAGACTACGCCTGCAGGTTTTCAGCAGAAGACTGGTTATGCCATCGGCTGTGTAAAAGGACGGAGAGGAAACCTCTGAGGCCACTGGGGCCCCAGCACAGCTTTATTCTCGAGTCTCTTCTATTCACAGCCTGGGGAATAAAACATGCCTTCCCAATCAGACTTCTGGGTCCTAGCCCTTATTTCTCCAAACTCAGCTCTCCTGAGGATGCCATTATTGGGTTTATCTAGGCATTATCATTTAAAATAGTAGGAAATGCATATATCCCTGGAAAACCAGAGATTGTCAAGTTGGAAGTTTTATCGCCCCAACCACATAGAGGGCTTCTTGAACAATGATACTGTGGAACTGTCAAACTATTTGACATAAAGACCAGGACTCACACAGGGGGCAGTGGGGACTAGATGCTAAAAGTGACGCAGGTGGGGTGGGGTGGGGAGTGGGGAAGGGGGCGGGGGTGACAGCTCCACTAGATCAGTTATGTGTAGATTTCCCCCCCCCATCAGTATATAACATGTTTCTATCAATAAAGACATTTTTTGTTAGTTTGTTTTGTTTTAAATCATTTTATTGGGGGCTCATACAACTCATATCAAAATTCATGCACACATCAATTGTGCAAAGCACATTTGCACATACATTGCCATCATCATTCTCCAAACATTTGCTCTCCACTTAAGCCCCTGGCACCAGCTCCTCATTTTTGAAGGAAGACAGGAATGGCTGGGTGAAAATTTGAATATAGTATATTATGGATGACCTGTGTTCAAAGGAATAAGGCAGGTTTTACCAGGAAATCATGGGAAGAACTGGGGTTTCAAGAGCTTAATCCCCAATCCCTTCATAAATAGCGTCTTTTTTTCCGATTGAAATTGGTGTTTTCAATTAAGAGTGAATTCTCAGGGTGCCGGGGGTAAAGAGTCCTCTTGCACTGGTCTTAATCTGCTGAGTTGGCTGTACCGATCTCCTCCAGTGGGGACTCTCCTTGATGGCTCCCTGCCTCCTCAGGGTCCCCAAACCAGCGGGAGAAGGCGTGAGGGAGTTGATGAGCTAGCGCTCAAATGAAACTGAAATGAAAGTTCACTTCCTCTTTGTGGGTACCTCATGTGACAAGCTCCAATTTCTTTTTAAAGCATGCTTCACTGCAGGCACTCTGTTGCCCTGGAGACCTTTGGAGAAAGCCCACCGATTCAAGGACCCTTCTGCTGGGAGCGCCTGCTGGCTCTAGCATGTAGGTACTGCTGTTTCTCTCCGGGCCATTCTTCCAACACGCTTCCTTTCCGTGTTTACCTTGCTCTGGCGGCCAGTTTATAACCCTTTGTTTCAGGAAGTCACGAAATCAAGTCGCCCGGCTTGGCTGCTTCTCTCTTTTTCATGAAAAGGAATCCTACTTTTGAAAAATTAATGTCTGCTTACACATCTAAGCTTATGTTGAAGTAGAGCTTTCCTTGGGATATAATCGGGCACTTTACATGCTTAAAATTCCACCTGTTTGGGGTGAAAATGTAAAAGGAAGTCAAATCTCATTGGAGGCAACTAGCTACCGAATTTCTGTTGAAAGTCTCTTTAAATGAAATATAGAAGTGGTGCTTTGAAAAGTAATTAATTACTTCCATTGAAATCAAGGTTCAGGGGCTGAGGGAAAAACGTTTAGAAAGCAAAATGACTCTGTGAGCAGGAGAGCAACAGGAGCCGCCTTTGAACTGCCTGTAAAGGTAACAGGTCTAAATTAACCAGTAAGATGGACTCATGTATTCAGAAATTCCGAAGATAAATCTACTTTTTCATAGGTTGGTCTACTTCGTAAAGGTGATTTTGTGTGTGTGTTGGGGTGGGGGGTGGTGGAGAGAAAGAGGATTTCCAATCATTAGATTTGTTGGCAGATCCTGGAAAGCCCCAATTTTTCCCCTTTCCCCCTCCTCACCCAATTTGGTGTACCAGATATTGGGAAATTTCTGAAAATAACTTTTTAAAAATCATTTTATTGGGGGCTCATACAACGCTTATCACAATCCATACATCCATCCATTGTGTCAAGCACATTTGTAC